GCGTGGCTTCCTTCACTTAGCATAGTACTCTCTAGGTCCATCCATGTTGTCACAAGTGGTAAGATTTCATTCTTTTTTTTATTGCCAAGTACTATATATATATATATATATATATATATATATATATATATATATATATATATCTCACATCTTCTTTATCTAATTATCTATTGATGGGCACTTAGGTTGCTTCCATGTCTTGGCTATTGTAAATAATACTGCAGTGAATACAGGGGTGCATATATCTTTTGAAATTAGTGTTTTGGATTTCTTTGGATAAATACCCAGGAGTAGAATTGGGCCATAAGGTGGTTCAATTTTTAATTTTTTGATGAACCTAAACTGTTTTCCATATTGGCTGCACCAATTTGCAATCTCACCAACAGTGCATGGTTCCCTTTTCTCCACATCCTCACCAACACTTGTTTGTTGATTTATTGATGATAGCCATTCTGACAGGAGTGACGTGATATCTCATTGTGGTTTTACTTTGCATTTCCCTGATAATTGGTGATGTTGAGCATCTTTTCATATGTCTACTGGCCATGTGTATGTCCTCTTTGGAGAAATGTCTATTGAGATCCTCTGCCCATGTTTTAATTGGATTGTTTGCTTTTTTGTCATTAAGTTTTATGAGTTCTTTATAAATTTTGGATATTAACCCCTTTTAGGATCTATCGTTGGCAAATACCTTCTCCTAATTGGTAGGTTGTCTTTTTGTTTTGTTGATGGTTTTCTTAGTTGTGCAAAAAGTTTTTAGTTTGATGTAGTCCTATTTGTTTATTTTTTCTTTTATTTCCCTTGCCTGAGGAGATACAGCAGAAAAAAAATATTACTAAAAGCAATATCAGAGAGTTTATTGCCTATGTTTTCTTCTAGGAGTTTTATGATTTCAGGTCTTACATTTAAGTCCTTAATCCATTTTGAGTTTATTCTTGTATATAGTGTAAGAAGGCAGTCTAGTTTAATTTTTTGCATATATCTGTCCAGTTTTCCAGCACTATTTATTGAATAGACTGCCTTTATCCCCTTGTATATGCTTGCCTCCTTTGTCATAGATTAATTGACCATATAGGCAAAAGTTTATTTCTGGGCTCTCTATTCTGTTACATTGAGCTATATGTCTGTTTTTATGCCAGTACCATGTTGTTTTGAGTTCGGTGAAAAATGCCTTTGATATGTTGATAGAAATTGCATTTAATCTATAGATTGCTTTGGGTAGTATGGACATTTTAATGATGTAAATTCTTCCTATCCATGAGCATGGTCTATGCTTCCATTTATTTGCACCTTCTTCAATTTCTTTCTCCAATGTCTTATAATTTTCTGAGTACAAGTCTTTTACTTCCTTGGTTAAATTTATTCCTAGGTATTTTTTTTCTGATGGAATTATAAATGGATTTTAAAATTTTTCTCTTTCTGATAGTTCATTGTCTATAAAAAATGCAACCAATTTCTGAATACTAATTTTGTATCCTGCTACTTTACTGAATTCATTTATCAGTTCAAGTAGCTTTTGGTGAAATATTTCGAGTTTTTTCTATATAGTATCATGTCATCTACAGATAATGAGTTTTACTTTCTCCTTTCCAATTTGGATGAATTTTAATTCTTTTCCTTGTCTGATTGCACTGGCTAGGACTTCCAATACTATGTTGAATGAAAGTGGTGAAAATGAACATTCTTGTCTTATTCCTGATTGTAAGCAAAACGCTTTTAGCTTTGCACCATTGAGTATGATGTTAGCTGTTGGTTTGTCACATATGGCCTTTATTATGTTGAGGTATGTTTCCTCTATTCCCACTTTGCTGGGAGTTTTTAATCATAAATAGAAGTCACATATTGTCAAATGCTTTCTCTGCATTTATTGTTATGATCATATTATTTTTATTTTTTATTTTGTTTATGGGTGTATCACATTAATTGATTTACAGATATTGAAACAACCTTACCTCCCAGGAATAAATACTACTTTATCATAGAGTATAATCTTTTTAACCCTCCGTGGGGTGCAATGCAAAAGCTACAAGTTCGGGTGCAATCTACTAGATGTGTGTATGACATTTATTTATTTAAATTGAAAATGAATGAAAATAACGTGTAAGCGTGCTTATTATTTATTCAGAATGAAAATTTATTTTGCCACAAAATAAAAGCAATATGTGTTTATTACAGAAATTCAGTATAAAAATCAATAGAAATTCAAAACAATCTTTGAGATCAGTTGTGCCTGACAGGGTTAATGTATTGATGAATTTGGTTGGCTAATATTTTCTTGAGGATTTTTGCATCTGTGTTCATTAGGGGTATTGGCCTATAATTTTCTTTATTGCGATGGCTTTGTCTGGTTTTGGAATCAAGGTAATACTGGCCTCATAAAATGAGCTTGAGAGCCTTCCTCCTCTTAAATTTTTTGGAATAGTTTGAGAAGGATAGGTGTTAATTCTTTTTTTGAGTGTTTGATAAAATTAACCTGTGAAGTCACCTGGTTCAGGACTTTTGTTTGTTGGGAGTTTTTTTTTTTATTATTGACTCGATTTTGTTAGTAGTAATCTATCTGTTCATATTTTCTGTCTCTTATTGATTTGGTCTTGAAAGACTGTATGTTTCTAGGAATTTATCCGTTTCTTCCAGATTGTTCAATTTATTGGCATATAATTGTTCGTAGTATTTTCTTACAATCCTTTGTATTTCTGAGGTGTCAGTTGTCACATCTCCTCTTTCATTTCTGATTTTATTCGTTTGGATCCTCTCTTTTTCTTGATGAGTCTGGTTAAGGGTTTATCAATTTTATCTTTTCAGTTCTTGGTTTCAATGGTCTTTTGTATTTTTTTTAGACAAGATTTCATTTATTTTTGCTCTTATCTTTGTTATTTCCTTCCTTCTACACATTTTAGGTTTTGTTCATTGTCCTTTTTCTAGTTACTTTAGGTGTAAGGTTAGATTGCTTGAGACTTTTCTTGTTTCTTGAGGTAGGCTGGTATTGCTATGAATTTCCCTCTTAGGACTGCTTTTTCTGTGTCCCATAGTCTTTGGGCCATTGTGTTTTCATTTTCATTAGTCTCAAGACATCTTTTGGTTTATTCCTTGATCTCATTGTTGACACATTAATTGTTTAGTAGCATCTATTTAGCCTCCATGTGTTTGTGTATTTTTCCATTTTTTTTTCTACTAATAGATTTCTGGTTTCATATCATTGTGAGCAGAGAAGACTTCTGATATGATTTCAATAATTTTAAATTTATTGAGACTTATTTTGTGGCCTGACATGTGGTCTAGCCTATAAAATGTTCCACGTGTACTTGAAAAGATTCTGCTGTGTTGGGGAAAAATGTTCTAAAAATATCAATTAAATCTCTCTGGCCTAATGTGTTGTTTAAGGCTGCTGTTTCCTCATTGGTTTTCTGTCTAGGAAATCTATCTATTGTTGTCAATGTGGTGTTAAAGTCCCTTAATATGACTGTGTTACTGTTGATTTTTCCCTTTATGTCCATCAATATTTGCTTTATATTTTTAGGTGCATAGGTGTTTACAAGACAATATCCTCTTGTTGGCTTGATCTCTTTATATTTATGAAATGTACCTCTTTGTCTCTTATTATAGCCTTTGTTTTAAAGTCTATTTTGTCTGATATAAGTGTTACAACCCCATATTTTTTATTGTTTCCATTTGTATGAAATATCTTTTTCCATTCCTTTACTTTCAGTCTGTGTGTGTCTTTTGATCTGAACTGGGTCTCTTGGCAGGCAGCATAGTAAGGGTCTTGTTTTCTTATCCATTCAACCACACTGTGTCTTTTAGTTCTGTTGCTAGAGTTTTCTCCTGTTCTTTCATTTGGAATGTATTTCTTTATCTCCTCATTTTGGCTGCCTCTCTCTGTTTCTCTGTGTTAGATAGATCTGCTATGTCTCCCCATCTTGGAAGGGTGGCCTTATGTAGTAGGTATCCTGTGGGGCCCAGTGATATAGTCTCCTTGATTACCTGAGCCAGGTGCTCCAGGAGTGTCCTTTATGTGAGTTGTGTGTGCCTTCCTGTTGTAGTTGAACCTGGATTGATGTTGGCACGCCAGTGGGTGGGATTGACCCTCAGGCTGACTGGCTGTGAGGATTGGCCATGACCATAGAATATGAGCTTCTGTGTGAGGGTTGGCCCCCATGAAGCAAGATTCACCCCAGTGGTCTCTGATGCCTGCAGAGACCACCCTTTGTGTGTGTCTGCCATTTATGGGGCTAGTCAGGTTGTGTTCTCTGTGTTCTGAAGCTGGCCACCAGGTGTGTTGGTCCTGGGGCTCTTGGGAGGGGCTCTAGTACAGGTTAAGGCCAGCTGCTGCCCGTGACCAACTTGGGGCTAGCTGATAGGAACTACAAAGTGATATGTAGTTAGTCGTTTCTTGTACTGGGTCCGGAGGTGCATAGGAGAAGTCACGCTGTGAACCAAGGCCAGTTGTCATTGTGCCAGGCCTGGGTTTGCTTAGCCAAAGGCACAGGGTACCCCAAGCCCTGCTGCCAACTGCCAGCTGTCCCACTGCAAGCTGCCTATAAGGCTCAGCTGCTGACAGGGCCTCTAGCAGTGTGCAAGTTGGGTGAGGCAAGGTCTCAGGGAGTCACGAGAGTGGGGCCAGTGGTGTTCACCCAGTTCATGCAAATTCAGATTTGCCACCAGAGCAGAGACTGGGGCCACTCAATAAGAAGCACATGGCACACTGAGGCCAGTCCCCACCTGCCTGGGGCCTGCAGATCTTTGACAGTTTTTAGGAAACATTGCAGTGCTGGCCAACACCAGCAACCACTGCCACTGAAAGAGCCTCAGATGTTGAATGACCTGGGGCTGGCTGCTTACTGCTGAAAGAGCCTCCAGGGATGCACAAGCTGGGAAGGGGGAGAGGGGTCTCAGGGAGTCACCAGGGTCGGGAGAGTGGTGTTCATCCCATTAGTACAGATTCAGATTTGGGCCTGTGGGAGACAGCTCAACACAGGGACAATGGCAGCTGTCCCTCTAGCTCTCGCCCTAAAGCCACATAACTCAGTTTCTCCCTGTATGTCCCTGGTATCCTGTGAGCTACTGTCCCTCCACTGGAGCCCAGGATGAGTGCCTGCAAGCGAGAGAGTCTGTGCATGTGCCCTTTAACCCTCTGTCGGGGGCAACTGATCTCACAGATTCATTGCACACAAAGATGCCGCTGTGAAATACGTCTTTGCTGTACTAAGTCACAAACATGACTGGTGATAGTTTACAATAGAGGGGGAAGATAGAGAAGCGATGAGTCACAATACTTAACTGTTAGATATTTGAAAATTGTGTGCAATGAATCTGTGAGATCATTGTGCCTGATGGAGGGTTAAGAGGATGCTTGGGTTTCCATCCATCTTCCCTCTCACCTAGATGGACAGAATTCCCACTAATTTTCACAGCCAGATGTTGTGGGGGCCCCTATTCCTGGCACCAGTGCTCCAGGCTGGGGAGCCTTGTGTGGGGTTGAGGTCCCTCACTCCTCCAGCTCCTCTGCAGCTGAGATATCTCTCCCCAAGTCTCAACTACCACACATGGGTGTGGGACCAGCCTATTTTGTGTCTCTGCCCCTCCTACCAGTCTCAATGTGGCCTCTCCTTTATATCCTTAGTTATAGGACTTCTGTTCAACTCATTAGGTGTTTCTCCAGGTTGATTTTTCTATAATTTTGTTGTAATTTTGATATGGTTGTGGGAGGAGGTAAGTGCAACATTTACCTACCTACTCCACTATCTTGACCAGAACTTTATTCAGTTCCTTTTTCAAATAAACTTAAGTATTGCTGGTCAGAATTATGCCACTTTTGAGAAAAAATAATCTTATTTTCTTTTCTCTGATGATTTCATGCCATGTAGAACAAGAATTTTTAAAGCAACAATGACAATGAGAATAAAAGCAGATATTCTAATCTTTTTTTAAAATTTCAACAAGTGATGTTTTTAATAAATTAAAAGGACACATTAGTATTTACTAAACCTGAGAAGCAAAGATTAAAAAGAAAACCTTAACAAACAACAACAAAGACAAGTTCCTCTTCAAGTTAAGAAGGTGATGTATTTGAAATGTCAACATTTCCTGAAATGATAGTATATATGCTCTATCTTTGCACTAATTTTCATTAACAGGAGGAATTCTAGGTCAGAAAACAATGCAAAATTGATATTCTGTAGTGACTTTTACTGATTGGCAAAATAAGTAGTATGTTACAACCACACTTGTAAAAATAATAAATGTCTATTTATCTTTTGCAATTAAATTGTTGAAGTAAGTAATGAAACTGCTAAATATCTCAGTGGGGAAATAATTGAATATGTTACATAACTAGATACTTTCCACTAGAATTTGTCATGTATTCTGGTTTTACAGCTGCTGAAAACTATAATTATTTTCCAAATTTGCTCACTCAAAAATTTTGATGATTGACTTATTTTACCATAAAACAGCCATTTACTTTTTTCTCATATCATTGTAATGTTTTGTATTTAAAGAAGATGATACTTTTGAAAGAAAATTTGTTGTCCTATGGACAATACAAGATACTCCAATAGGAATCTAAATATTACCAAGAATGATAACTTTTTGTAAGCCAGATAAATTCCACACAAGTCTGGGTATTACTGGAGCTTTAGCAATTGACTGCATATCTCATATAATTCTGTTCACCCTCTGCTCTGTTCCCTGAAAACACCTCCAGCATTTGCCCGTGGCCTCTTAATATTTCTGGTTGCAGGCATAGCAATTACCCCTGCTGAGAAAACAACCCAAATTTTTGGGGGGCGTCTCTTTAATCCAAACATATACTGTTAGATAGATGTCAACTGGGTAATGCTTCGTTGTGCAAGAGTAGAGATACTTCCCTAGCATAAAAGATACATTAAAATGACAATATGTCCAACGCATTCTTCTTCTCATGGCTACCAACGAAATCCATCAGAAAACCATTAAATTGTTAAAATAAGGTTCAAATTAAGCAGGATGAGCAAACACAGTTTGCCTACCTACAAGTGTCAGAAACACACTCTCAGTCTCTTAGACCATGAGCTACTAGCTAATGTGACATTTCACTGAGTCAGTCTAAATTTCCTCGAGTACCTCTGAGAATCTGGCTTTTGGTAGGTGTTATATATGTTTTTTTTGAAATTTGGGGAAAGATAGGAGAAGATCTCATGCACTGCAGATGTTTCTAGAAAGTTGGGTCATGTCTTGACAATTGGGAATGAATTTCCCGTGTTCCTGAGAATTGGTCAAATTCTACTGAAATTCAGACTTATAAATATTTTCCCCTCTTTTTGTCTTTTCAACTTATTTTTCTGCCTGGGGCATTTATTTTATAACCAAAGTTGTATTTGAAGCACCGCTTTTAGAGCCTTTTTGAGTCAGCTGTGGTGACACCTAATTGCACACTCGACCTCAGCGCACAGAAATTGAAAAGCAGCTAAGGATTCATGCTCTGTTAGGCCCTTACAAGTAAAGAGTTTACTTTTACTTCCTTTTTTTTTTCCCATACAGCAGAATCAGCAATGAAATGTATCTTTGGGGGGATAAAGAATAAATAAATAAGCCAAGGTGTAAAATGCAAATAATATGTTTACCTAGGTATAGTGCATCACTCCCAAATGAAAAACTGCACATGCCTGACAGCATAAGTGAGTAATAAGAGCCATGGAAAATGCATGCAATTTTTTTTTCTACTACAGGAATTCTGATTAATTTCCTGAATCAGTCCTAAAATATAACTCATGGATTCAAATTGTTGCCACAGATATAAACACCCTTTAGACAAGATGGCCACCTGAGTATTTGGAATGCGGAGGAAATAGGAGTTGTCTGTAAATCTCCCAGTGGTTAAATATCATCTGGCCCACACTTGATTCCGCATCCATCCTCCCCCATTCCTGGGCGTACCTGTCTCTGGCGATCCTCTAGTTCCTGATGACGGGACTCAATAGCAGAGGGTCAGCACCACGTCCGTCGTGTCACAGCTGTGTCTGCAGCCCAGCAGCGGGCACAGTGTCAGAGTCAGGGCAGGTGCTCTGTATGCCTGAGCCTGTGCAGAATAGAGGCAAATTAATACACAGCCCTTAACAAATTAAGTTACATAGGGAAACACCCAGCATCGGGACAAGTCGGGTCAGAGCACGGAGGGCTGGGAGTGGGGAACCAGCTTGCTGTTTGTGGGGAGGTGCCATACATTTGATCCTCACCTAAAAATTTCCCCAAGCAGCCTTTGAAGTAACGAACACAAATGAGGTGATTGGATTTCTAAAACTCTATTATGTTTTGACATGTAAACTTTTAACATATAGCTACATACATTAATATATTTTTTGGTAACTATGATGCAGGTTATAGCTTTTCACACAAAATAGAAATTATAGCAGGTAATGAAAATTTCAACCTGATAATTTATTACATTGGGAGCAAATACATTAATCAACATGGCTATAAAAGCAGTCACTTTTCATGTGTTTATGAATTTTAGGTTCATGGAGAATTAAGAGATTTTGATTTCTCTCTCTCTCTCTCTTTCCCTCTCTCCCTCTCCCTCTCCCTCTCCCTCTCCCCCCGCTTCATTCTCTGTGCCCTTTTCTGTTTCATTCCATTTGTTTTTTTCTGTATAAATGGAAATATGTTCCCGTTGCTTTGGGTAAACAACTAAATTAATGAACATAAAACAAGTGAGATCTTTTAGAAAAATTTTGTACATTTTATATAAAACCAAACCATCTTGAAACTCCCAGAACCCCCAAGAGAAACAGAAAGCCCTCCGTTAGATGCGGTGCTGTCATCCCCTCTGGGTTGTTGTTTCTTAATTTATAGCTTTCTTAATGAACTCAGAGGCTTCCTCACCAAGGTATTTTATTATATCTTATTCCCTATTTTCTAAACTCATGTATTCTCTAAGAAATCTCGGCAGAACATATGTTCTTATTTTAATTCCTGGAGGACCTGGGACAGTGGGAAACAAGTCTCTTACATAAGCATCCACAGCCACAGGTATTATTCTCATGCCACTCACCTTGCCTGGACTTGCACAGCCCAGCTACTCAGCCAGTACACGGGAACGGGGTGCAGGACTCCGAACTGACGGGACCTGCATGATGCGTACGTTATGGCACCGTTATTATTCTGTCCCCGCTAATAATAGAGTTATAAGGGGTTTTATTTCCCCTTTTTCTGTAAAAGTTTGCCCTATATTCACAATCATTATTTCTCACTTTCCCTATCCCCCACCCCCCACGTAATTAAATTATTAGGAGGTGCAGCACAGGTTCTGGGTACCGAAAAAAAGGTGCTTACCCACACTGCCCTGGATGAGCCCAGACCCCACTTACTGAGAAGTGCAGCGGCCGAGCCATCAGATGCAGCTGCAGGGCACTGACAGGGAACCTTATCTCGGGTGCACTTCTTGACTTAGAGGCGGTTCTTCTTCACTATTTCATCATTGCAGCTGTAATGGCGAAAACTCGCACACAGGCAGCTTCCTTTATGAGGGCTTGTCTAAGCAGAACCCAGGAGCATCTGTGAGAGAGCAGTGAGGGACCGGCCATCACCCAACTCCCGAGGCCGAAACTGCTGCCCAAGGAAAGGCTGTCCACTGCCCAGATACTGCCATCTGGTGCCAGCTCGTCGGCATCTTCGCTCCTTCCCGGTGTTCCGCTCTGTTCAGGCGCTGGAATTACTGTTTGCTCCTGGGTGGGTGAGCAGGTAATCAGGTTTCCTTCCGGTGCTCTGAAGGAGTGCATTTCTATTTTCTCTGTGTGCTTCATCCAGCTACAGAATCTAGAGTATTTGATGTGCCTCTGTCACCTCCACAGCACCAGGCACAAAACAGGGCAAGGAAAGTGCCTGTCTGTGTGCCACGGTTGGCAGCCCGTGTGCAGGGAGTGCCTGAGCACTTCTCTGCTGTGTTAGCAGGTCCTGTGCCCTCAGGTAAACATGTGTGTAT